TTCATTTTCTGGAGTAAAAGCTAATAACTTTAACTGTCTACTGATTTAACAACGTTGAGATCTTCCCATTTCTCTTATGAAGATGCAGCAGATCTCACCTTACACAGAACATCCTTAGGATTCTTTGCTGTGATTCACAATTGTCCTGAAACTACAATTCATTTCATTCCTTTTAACACCTTTGAGTCTTAGTTACAGAGTATCAACATTCTATCTTTAGAAGAGACCTAGCCACAACTTACTAAACTAAAAACACTGTATTAGCCATGAAATGTTATTTAAAATTGACACAAGACAAATTCCATAGGCCTTCATTAGTAACCTAGGCGCATTTCTTATGGATTATGAAAACAATCAGAACAGATACAGGTCAGCACCCCTGCAAAGACATGCTTTATAGGAATAATTAAAAAAAAATCTAGCACAAACTTGACATTCTATCCAGAAAAGTGAAAATAAAAGCTACAGAACACTTGATTCAACCACAAATAAAAAGTGTGCAAATTACAGTTAAAAAGCTTAACTTAGTGATGCTTGAAATACTGCAGGTCTTGTTACTCACATGTACAGTTACACTGATGTACTACAGACTGCACAGTCACTGATTCCTGTCTGTAAGGACAGACCATCACACTTCGGTCTTCCATTTAAACTTCAGTTGAACTAAACTCAATGCAAGCCACCCCACACAGCACATCACTTCTGATAAAATATATGTGGTTCTAAAGAAGAAAATGGATCACCAGATCTGTTTACTTAGAAAACATCTGTATACTGCTCAATCTAGGAATCAAGTCTATTACACTGTATACTTCCAAATAAAGCATCGACATGTTTAGAGACTCACCAGAGAAATAAAATTACTTCTTAGGACAAGGTTTTCCTAGACAAGTAGCATCTTACTGTCAGTCCTGCCAGTACTCAGCGATGGCACTCATGTAATGATGAAACTTGAGAGCATCAGTAAATTCAGCTGCTTCTCATTCACTTTGAGAAAGAACACTGTGAAATGCTCTTGTAACTTACACTGGACTGAATTACAAACTGCACTTGAAAACACCAATATACTCTTAAAGCTCTTCAGCCTCTTATTAAAGCAGTAGCTACATTAAATCTCAAGAGTTTCCTGTTGAACAAACATGTCCACTAGACATCAGAAGTTCTCTCTAGCTGCAGCTGAAATCCACTGATAAGCTAGTCCTCAGCCAACAACGCTCTTGAAGTTAAAACAGCAATGCCTGCCATGACATTGCATTATCAAACCTAGCACTGTATCAAAAGTGAACCTGTAAGACTGACAGAAAAAGAAATTCCCATCTAATCATATGTGGTGGGCTAGGCTCAGATAAGACATGGGAGGAAAAAAAAAAATCTCCAGGGAAAAAAGAAAATTGAAGAACTACAATTAACTTCAGTTCTTAGGTTATTTAGGCACACTCCTACTAAAATGTCTATCAGAAAACAAAAAACAACAACAAGAAGTCAATAACAGAAACACAGATTTTCTAAAGAATGTTGTGGCAGAATAATAAGCAGTTCCACTTCCATCACTCAAGATGGTTTTGTGGTATGACATGATGTAGTAACAATTGCTGCTCCCAGGACCACAAAGAAAAGCAACACATTCCACTTTCTAAGCTGCAATCTTCCAGTGCCCCAACCTGCATTTTCACACTGTTTTAGCTCAAAAGTATTAGTTCACCTCTTTTTCAGGTAGATTTTGTTTGTCAAGACTTATCACTACTTAATAGGAACTTAACCACTGAGACCATACCAGTTCTAATGTAGTTTTTGACATGTACTTAAAAAAAAAAAAAAAAAAAAAAAACTGAAGGGTATAAAGAGAAGCTTTCCCTTACAGAAATGCTGCAAGATAAATAGCAAGTGAAATTGCTGTTGTAGAGCACCAACACTCAGATAAGAAAAGTAATGAAGTATTTCTAAATTTCTTAGCCACTGAGGAAATGAGAGATATTATCACAGAAGAGCGCCAGCTTCTCTTTTCTGAACAGCTTACTTGCTGGACCAAAACTACCTATAATCCAGTGGCACATTTTGCTCCACAGACATGCTTTAGCCTTGGGTCAGAGCACAGGGAACCAGGAAAACAAGGAGAAAGGCTATGTGCTCCTTTGTGCAAAGACAAACTGAAGCACTTGGTCACCATAAGGCAAACAACCGAAAACAAAGAAACCACTGCCAAGCTCAAGTTTTTAAGGTGAGACACAACAAAAGATGAATGAAACTCCTTCTAGGTCACTCCAGTTTATACACACATTGTTCCCTGCCAGTCACCATCACTTTCCTATCCTGCCTGCACACACACCGCCTTATCTGTGCTCCAGAGGCCAAATGCCATTCCTAGCTGTGCTCCCACCTTAAAAATGATGCAATTTCAGTATACTGGACCCAACTTGCATGCAGCAGCTACTAGTAGAGCAAACACACAAGCACAGCTTTGTTTGCAAACTGACCATCATCCTCCAGTATATCCAAAATCCTGGTTCAGGGAGAAGAGAGAAACAAAAACAACGCTGAAGCCGAACAGACATTCAAACAGCTATTCTCACGAACACGCAATGCAAGTGCACTGAAAAGCTGCTTCAGAAAATAATTCCTCTCCTCCCTTCATGTTTGGAACAACTGCCAATAATAAGAACTGAGCTGGCAGCAGAAACACATTATGAGCTAATAAAACCTATGATTGCCTATTCATTTATTATTCTTGAATTGATCCGAGGCTTTAACAAATAGATTTAATGAATTAGAACTTTTCCTAGCAAGCACACATGTTAGAGTGGCCATTCACAGCAATAATCCAGAGATACAAAGATTACTCACCAAGAAGTTCAGTTTTACAACTCATCAGTATTCTGACACTCAACATTCAGAGCATGGTTCAGGATTAGTTTGAGAACTTACCATGCATCTTCTACTGGTAGGCTAGCTTATAGAAAAGGATTAAAGTGTGTAACAACTTCCAAGATAGTGATGGAGAGGAAGTAGCTTGACTAGCACTACTAGCAAACGCATTACTCCTGGTGAGCATGCAACATTTCAGCTACAGTGTTGAAGGCCACCTGAGGTTGAATCCAACTAGCAGCCCTGACTTACAAAGCAAGAAAACCTAGAATATTATCGACCAAATCTTAATTGTATTGGGAAGTTAAAAAAAAAAAAAAAAAAAACACACAGAACATTTCCATTTACAGGGCACATATCAGCACCAGCCCATTAAACACAAGCATACTAGATGACTCAAACACAGCAGCACCGCACTCCTCATTTCCACTGTGATTTCAAGAACTTGAGATTTCTGGTGCTTGCCCCAGCACACACACTGCTGCAGCTTCAGGAGGCTAAGCAAAGCCTAGGAGCAAGCAGAGTGCTCACCATATGGTCTTACTGCAACTGCTCCCACCAAAGACAGCATATCCTGTGATCTGAGTCATGTGCAATCACAATATGACAAGTCCCCTCCCGAGCTATATAAGCTGGCATCTTTCCCAGCAGTTGCCACATCATGAAAAAGATGCACATAAATAAAACTCCAAACACTTTAAAACAATAGCTTAAATGACTGCATAACTAAATTCAGCAGCTGGAGGCACAAAGCATTCACAGAAGCAAACCATGCCATCTTTCACTTGCAGAAGTCCTCAAATACATTCCTATTACCAAGATCCACATTACTCCTAACCTGGATTGCAAAGTCATGTCTCCTGAGGCCAGACAAGAATAAAAAAGAAAACACAGAATAGGTAATAAAAGCAAGAGTGTCATAAGCCTCAGCTAGGCAGTCACAGAACTTCAAAGTATTAAACCTACATTCTATCACTGCTTCTAACACACCACCCCATCCACTGTGCACAAACAATGCTAGTTTGCCTATCAGGCTACTCAAACACATTCTCAGTTTTTCTTCCAAGCTATTCAGATCAATCTAAAGCCATGCTTTTCTACACAAGAAACAGCGGGAAACAGGAAGGAAAGGAAGACTTCACTGTGCAATCTGGGCAATTTATTTCACCACACGTGTAGCAGTACTGCATATATGCCGTTAAAAACTATTTGTACAATACCTTTCTGCTTTCACATAGGCTGAAAAAAAAATGTACTCTGCTTTACAATGACAAAAATAGAAACAACAGCATATATTCTAGAAGGGAATATCAACATCAAAGTGTTGCATTTCTTACAGTTCATTTGGTTAAAGCGAATCAAATATCCTCGAGAAATTAAAAAAAAAACAAAACGGGTGCAAAAAATATTAAAGTCCCAGTTTGAACTGAGAAATGTTAAATGAGAATATGTGTTTTAACCTTGCCTCAAAAATCTTCCCCATTTCAATACAGAGAAACGTCCCGTCCTCCACTTCCCGAACACCCGATTTCCCCCAGGTACTCCGGACAGAACAGACTCCTTTCGATGTCATTCTACGGAGCGGCAGCTCTATGTGACAATAATGACTACCGATCCGACGAAAGACAACTGCAAACCATCGCGCCTACACGAGTGCATAAACCTTCTCACAAACAAAGCACCTTCTTTTGTTCACACCGTTACCTCCGCTAACGGCCACAGCGCTCAGGACTCGACCGGATCGGATCTGAAGACAAAAGGCCGCCGCAACCTCCCGCACGGGCCCGGGCGCCGCACACGCTCACCGCTCCGCAAGTTCTCATCAACGCCGGACGCGGCGGGGTCGGACCGGCGGCGCGGGAAGGGCGAAGGGCCGGAGCGGCGCAGCCACGAACCCGACCCGCCCCGGCGCAGGAGGGTCCGGAGCGTCCCCGCCTGCGGGAGCAACGCGCGGGCCGGGTCCCGGAGGCGCTCGTCCCGCGCGGCCGCAGGTGCCCGGGGCGCGGACCCGCGGGCGGCTGCGGCGGCTCGGGGGAGGCGGCTGGATCCCTCGAGTCCGCGCAGGGCGACGAGCGGCCCGCGGCGCCGCCGCTTTTGTTCTGCGCTCGGCGGCCGCCCGTTCCCCAGGACAGCCTCACCTCTCTTGGGCCTTGGGAAGCTCTCATGCAGGTGGAAGACGACCTTCTCCACGAAGTGCTGGATGTTGCTGTGCTCGGGCCCGCGGACGAACACCATCCAGTCGTGGGTGAAGCCCTCCACAGTGGGTTTCTTCCTGACCTGGGCTCGGTGCCCCAGCTCCAGCTTCACCTGAACGGCGCACTGCGGGGAGAGGCGGCGGGCGGTCAGCTCCGGGCGGGCAGCCAAGGACGCGCACCCCGAGAGCCGAGCCCGCGCCGCGGGCACCACCCAGGGCAGCGCCGGGAGCCGCTTCGCGGTCGCGGTACAGTCCTGCTCCCCGCGCCCGGAGATGCCGCGCGCCGCGAGCAGCAGCCGGGAGCCCGGAACGGGGGAGAAAGAGCAGAACCGAGGAGGAACGGGCCGGGCACTCACCGCGCTGGCCATGCCTGGGGCGCCGGCTCCGCTGGGCGCTCACCACGGCCCCCGCCCCCACCCCGCGGCGCTAATTCATGGAGATGAAGGCGCGGAGGCGGCCGCGTAGGGCGGCAGCGGCGGGAGTGCGGCGGGCATCCTCTGCCTGCCCGGTGCTGCTCTGTGGAGGCGGCTGCCTCCGTCTCCTCTGCGCCTTGCAGCGCACCGACCCCCGGCCGGCCGCGACGGCGGCGCCGGCCCCCCTCTCAGCGCTGGCCCCTGCCCCGCCGGCTGGATGGGCGCCCGCCGCGCATGCGCACCCCCCGCTCGGCTGACACCGAGACACAGACATAACAGTGCGCGGAGGGGGCGGGCACCCGTGCGGTGCGGACAGCCAATGGCACGCGGCGGCGCGGCCGCGAGCCGCCCGCCCCACCCCGCCCCGCGGCCCTTAAAGGAACAGGTTAAGGAGTGTGAGCGGCCGCGCAGCCGGTGAGGCGCCGGGCGGGAGGGGTGCGCGGGTCCCTGCGTTACAGGCAAGCGGTGAGAGCGGCTCCCGAAGCTGTCCGCGCGTCCTCTTAAGAACCGCTATTAAGAGCGGGCGGTGCGCGGCAGCCCGGTGCCGGCGATGTGGCGCTCAGGGTCGTTCACCCGGCTGCGCCGCTGACAGCACGACGCTGCGTTTTCAAAACTCAACGGCGGCCGGGACCAAGCCAGTGCCAGACGCGGCTCAGCGCGGAGCGGCGCCCCGGATCGCGCTGTGGGCAGCGGGGCGGCCGCCGCGCGTCGCGCCGAAGAGAAGCCCTGCCCGGCGACGTTGCCGTGCTCCTGGAAGCGCCTCCCGGTGGCGGCTCTCACCCCGCGGATCCACACATCCTCCGTCGAGTTACTGAAATGCGAGCGCGACCATCTCCCGATTCCACCGAGCCAGTGCCGTATCGTACACGTAGTTGACTCGATGCCCACTCCCAGAGGGCTGGATGCGATTTGTGAAAATGCCACCGGTCACACAGTAACTAACCGTTCACTTTGCTGTTGTATGAACATCCATGCCGTATGCCTACAGTGTACAAATGTTGAGGCTCATGTATTTTCTGTTCATCTTTTGTCGGGCTAGCTAGCAAGTCAGCAGCTCACACTGTGTCCACAAACCTGTCAGAGCTGACTGATAATTTGAAGACTTCACACATGCCATAATAATTAAAAAATCTTAGAATAGTTAGAGTTGGAAGAGACCCTTAGAGGCCATCTAGTCCAACTGCCCTGCAATGAACAGGGACTCCTACAGCTGTCAAGGGTGCTCAGGGCCCCATCCAGTGTGGCCTTCAATGTCTTCAGGGATGGGGCTTCCACTGCATCTCTGAGCAACCCGTGTCAGTGCCTCACCACCTGCACTGTAAAAAACTTATTGGATTCAAACTAAATCTCCTCTCCTTTAGTTTGAAACCATTTCCTCTTGTCCTATCACAACAGACCCTCTTAAAGAGTCCTAGAGCCCTCCTTCAGATACCGAAAGACCCCTCTCAGGTCTCCCCGAAGCTTTCTCCAGCCTGAACAGCCCTGGCTCTCTCAGCCTGTGCTCATAGGGGAGGTGTTCCATTCCTTGGATCACATTTTTGTGGCCCTCCTCTGAACGCAGGTCTATGTCTCTCCTGTACTGAGACTCAGCACTCCAGATGTGGTCTTACCAGGACAGAGCAGAGGGGCAGGATCACCTTCCTCAACCTCCTGGCCACACTTCCGATGCAACCCAGGATATAGTTGGCTTTCTGGGCTGCAAGGTCACAATGTTGGCTCATACACAGCTTGCCTTGTGCCAACACCCACAAGTCCTTTCCAGAAGAGCTGTGCTCTATGCTTTACATCCAGTGTGGCATGGAACACAGTGTGCCTCCAGGTGCCAGGGCCCATAATGCACAGAGCAATCTGCAGCCTGAAACTCCAGGCACCTCCCCTAGATAGGTTCCATTTTTCCCATGGCTGAGCTACTCAGGTGTCCAGTCACTGTAGAAACGTGCAGGGACTGGCAGTAGATCATCATTTAGATGTTAGATTCCATTGGTTCCCACAGAAATCAGACTCCCAAGCATTTCTCACTAAATGAGGGGTTTTGCAATTCAGAAGACGCTCATTTTTTGGTGTTAAACCATAGTATACTCTTCCACAGTAGTGTGGAGCTGAGGGTATAGCATTCCTAGTAAATGGCAACAATGAATACACTTGGTGTATGCAGTGATCTGCTGTCAAAGCAGTGCTAATTGCTCCTTCATCAATGTGGCAAATACACTGTGTTTTATAATAATCACAATGCATATTTCTGCTTATATCTGTCTTTAAAAACTTACACAAAGGTACTTGAATTAGTAATAATCAGGAAAGTTATACAGTTCTTAAAGGTAGGCACCTAAAACAATATATCTCAATGAGCCCATATGTTTGTAGTTTCATTTCCATAGGTACTGCACAGAATCACAGAATTGCAGGGGTTGGAAGGGACCTCAGGAGATCACGGAGTCCAATCCCTGTTCCACAGCAGGCACCTTACAATACGTTGTAAAGGTTCATCATAGAATTGCCACAGAATGACTTGGGTTGGAAGAACTTTAACAGTCACCCAATTCCAGACCCCTATCATGGGCAGAGCTGCCACCCACCAACTGGCCTTGAAAACCTCCAGGGAAGAGGCATCCAGAGCTCCTGTGCCAACACCTCAATGTTCTCAAGGTGAAGAATTTCTTCCTAATATCTAACCTAATAATATCTAACATTTTAATTTAAAGCCACTGAATATGTTGAACACAATCATGCTCTTGTTCAACACAATTATTTCCACACTCAGTGATTGTAGTACCAGCCCTAACAGCCTTGTTTTTTGTCTGTGTATCCACAACTTTATCCTTCAGGACTACAGAATTCTGCCCTAAAATATTCAGGTACAAATATTGTTTCATTAAGGAAATTATGTTGGAGACACTGCTGTTCAAAATCCCAATACATATCAAATCCTGTCTTCAATACTTCTTGCTGGCTAGAAAGAAAATCCTTTTGCATTCCTTCTCTACATTCCTGGGCAACTCTTCAAAGACTTCAACTGCCTGTTTTTCTTTCCCTATTTACATAATGGTTTGACATCATGAAGAATATATTTCCTATTCTCTGGGAGAAATTGGGGCCACCATCTTTTTGTGTAACAAATTATGTTCTTTTATGGGGGTACCACCTAAAGATAAAACACCTTTTTTTTTTTTTTTTTTTTTTTTTTTTCCCCTAACTCATTTTACATGGAAAAAAATAAAACAGAAGAATTCTGTGTATGAGTCATCAGAGTTTTGTATGGCACAGTAGGACCAAGGCAGGCAATCAACACAGTTAAACACAAAAAGAAACTCACCATTTCAGTTAGAATATTTCTAATTTCATTCCACCTCCTTCTTGCCTTTTTTCTTTTGGAAAGACTTGAATTATCCTTTCCAAGCTTCTTCTGGAAATCCTTATTACTTAATATAAGCTTTGTGCCTATTCAGATTGATTACTTCCTTTTCATAATTACACAAATGACACAACAGTAGCTTTGAAGAAATGTCACAGTGGGTCTGATCCTAAATGTACATTCACTTGTCAGGATCCATTCACAGTAGGAAAGGAAGAACCACTTTCCATCATAAAGGACTTCAGAAATGATTTTATTCCAAGATGGTTATTATCTTACAAGCTAAATCCATGACAACACAGTTTTAGAAAATATATGCTTGCACATACACATTTATTTGCTATGTTTTTCTCAGAAGGCTGTAAAGACAGGATTTGTTTTCTTTCCTCCTGATTTAATAATTTCTGATAAACGAACAATTGTCTAGCAGTATCAAATCTACATACTGCAAAAGAGAATATGTCAGGCGTGTGGAAGAACTGTAATTTCCATAACGTCTAGGTTTCTGTGCTCCTGCTAATGTTTATGTTGAAGAAAAGTCCCTTCTGAATCTCTGCAGATTTTTCCTGGAAGGCATAAAACTATAACCACTTCAACGGCAGTCTTGTCTTGTTACTATATATCTTTGGTATTTTTGTTTCACCAGAATTAGAGCATAGGGATTTTTACTGGTAGCTCCAACATAGCTACATCAGAAGCTGCTTGATGAGAGAGAAGATGTCCAAGTAGTAAATAGTATCCACTACACTATACGAACAGGGTTGTGGCATTTTTAATTTTCACCCATGGAAGAAACAAAGAAGAAAAAAAAGTCTACTCCTGAAGCAAGATGTTTTTTCTTGGATGGTTCTAGTTTGTGTTTCAGTTGAAAACAAAATGAAAAAAGGTTGTCAGGCAATAACTGGAAAATTCAGATACTAATATCTGACATATATGAGAGAAAATTCCCTTTTCTGGACTTTAAGTTGGTACACAGACTCACATACCATAGGCCTCTCTATAACTCAGGATTCTACAGGAAGGAATGTGTCCTCTGGTGTCCTTCATGCTGATGTTTATTTCTTATTTGTTTGGATAGACAAAAGTGTCTTCCTCTTGACTTAGAATAGGAGTAAAGGAATAAAACTAGTACCAAAAGAATACATACTGACTTGGTGTATTGCACATAAGCGTAATAACGGAAACGCTTCTAGCACTTGACTTTATTTGCTTCTGTCATCTTTATCTGAGACCAGTTAATTGATTAATGATTACAAACTCCTGAAGATTTAGGTTCAAATTTGGAAGAGAGAGTTACTTAATGTGTCAGCTGTGAAGCGGTGTTGCATTTCAGACAAAAAGAAAAAATGTTTCAAAAAACAGCAATTGTTTTTAAGCTGAAATAGGTTGCGATGCAATTATAGTAATTTTTAAAATGTATTAATTTTACAAACTTCAATATAACCCCCAGTTATCAGAGGCAGAATCAAAGAATGATCCTGAGCCATTGAACTGACAAATTGGTGCAACCACTTTCTTCATTTTGGATCAAAAGTTAAAACAACCATTCTTTGATCTCATCACAGCAGATGGATGCAATTATGCGCATATAAAAGTGCAGAGACTCTGGGTCAAAGACATACAGAATTACAAAGGTGACAGCAATTTTCTAGTAGTTCTGTGTAGCATTGTTAAACCAGAGCTTACCATGGAATAATTATACAGCTGCAGTTTCTCTTTTGAAAACAGGAGACACTTGTGACATATTCTTAACAGAATGTAACTACTAAGGGTTTACGCAAGCAGCCACTGCAATGCTAGAAATCCTTACACATTTTATGTC